CCCCCCCCCCCCTTAGTTACAGAAGCAGAACTATCGGCCTCACTCAATGCTTGTACTGTGAGACCATCATTTCATCTCACCTAAGCTCCCATCTGTCCACCTGTCAGGGCCACTCTGGGGCGCTTCCTCGGCCCCTGCACGGCCCCGGTGGCCACGCGTCCAGGGTTTAGCGTTGGGGATGGAGGGCTCATTGAAGATATCGGTGGATGGCCAAGAAATGTATCTTGTCAGAGTGCAGGTGAAGTGACAGGTGTGGGTGTTGTGGGAACGGGTTTAAGCAGATCGCCCTGACCAAGCAGGTAAAACCCTGAATCTTGCATCCTGGTGAAATCGGCGCTTGTAGAGGCCAAGTCTGTCTTTCGGATTTGTAGGATGCCAGCACCGGTTTCGGGTCTTCCAGGGGACCTTCGCCCCTCAAGCGGGGCTTACAATCGAGAGCGCGCGCGTGTGTGTTTATATATATATATATAGTTATCTCTCTGGGTGTGTTTTATGCCTGAAGAAGGCTTTCGCCAATGTGCAGGCTTATGCATGTAGGTTTTGACTTAGCAGTCGTCCGCTTCTTGTGCTTCTCCTCTTGTCGAAGATAGTCGAGCAGTTGCTATGAGTATCTCAGTATCTTTCATTATCAACATAAGAGCAGTACAGGTTGACAATAACAAGCAGAATAATGTGGGTAGCAAGAACGGAAGAACGGGACATTGCACGAATAAAAGATCACTAACAAAGAGATTGAGACTGTTGGTGCTACAAGCCAAAAGCGAGACACGTCATCATCGTCGTGGTCTTGGTCGCGGTCTTGGTCGTGGTCGTGGTCGTCATTGTGGTCGTCCTTGCAGTCGTCGTTGTTGTTGTGGTCGTTATTCCGTCGCCGTGGATGTATTCTCATGGTGGGAGTGAGGGTGATGCAGCAGGAGAGTAGGACGGGGAGGAGGAGGACAAGGAGGAAGAGGTGGAGGAGGAGGAGCTGGAAGAGTAGCAGCAGTAGCACATAGTAGCACTAGCATGGCAGCTGCCATAATGATAGGATGATCTCGACAAGCCTTTTGACCGTTATCACCAAGCACCAAGGAGAGAGAGCATTTCCAATTACTCCCTCTTTTTGATTGGCGCGCGATGTGACCTCTTCCTATTTCTTTAAACTGGATTCACTCAAGTTGGACCGCTTTTCAACCCATTTTCGAAGATCCCAAGGACCCACGAGCGAGCATCAAAACTCTGAGGCCTCAGTGCTACGGCCAACCCCGAGTGTGGATACCCACACAGCGAACCCCAAGCATCCACCCAATTGAAAGGCCTTCCTTCCCCAGGTTGCGTGCGATCCTCGCCACGAACCGGCACCATGCCCGGAAGCATGGCCTGTGCCTCGTGATCAGGCCCGAGCGCCAGGGTCGAGGACGGTTTAGGGTTTGGGCTTATAGGGTTATAGGGTTACAGGGCTTTGGGATTAGGGTTTGGGGTTACAGGGCTTCGGGATTCGGGCTCAGGGTTTAGGGTTCAACGTCCACGTGCACCAAAGTCATGGTCTCGTGTTCTTTTGGTTTATTTGAGCGGGCCAGGCTTCTTCCCGAACCTCAGCCCTGAACCCTAAACCCTAAACCGTAGACCCCTTCTATTAATAAATGCATCCCGAAAAGATTGTTGGAAAAGGGCAAATTTTAATATTCTGTAGACTTAAGATTTTGTAACAGGATTCTATCATCATAGGTGACCTAAAAGTTATCACATGTGGTAAACTATTATTATAGGTGGAATCACATGATAATTCTTAGGTGTATTTTAGTGGTATAAGTTATCATTGGAAAGTACCTACAAGTTATAACCATTTCTGACCTATAATATTAGTTGTCTAGAGGTTATATTTTTCAGGTCATTCCATGTGACAAATGATTCTAATGTATATCCTCTTATAATGTGAAGTTACCAAAATATGAAGAGAGCACGGTTTATTTTACTGAAACCTAAAACTCTCAAAGCCCAGTCGCCGTCAGGTGGCTGCCGAGCAAGCCGCAGCTGCAGGCATGGCAGCAGCAGCAGTGCGGAGAGCTTTCCGAGAAGGAGAGACCTGCAAGATTTTGTAGTCATGGAGACTTTTCTCATGGATTTAGGGTTTAGGGGTTTGGCTTGAAGTGTCGGATTTCGTGTTTGGTGTTTTGTTGGGCTTCTGTTACCAGAGAAGCTGCGCTTTGCATTTGGCATTGAGCATGCTGCCATAGCTGGACTGGGCCCTGAAATCTGCGATCCACTAAGTCCGAAGTCCTACACGATGCAGCCCGCAGGAATGCACGAAGCGGAACGAGCGTGAGAATTTCAATTGGGAGAAGCACCGCATGCTGCAGGACCTTGCTTGTTGCCGGCTACGGCAATCAGGGTCGTTGTACGTATGCATGCATGTATGTACTTTTAAGTAAGGAAGGATGTATCTGTGTATGAAGGTGTCCATGCAGGTATGTACGTTGTAGGTAGGTAGGTAGGTAGGTAGGTAGGTAGGTAGGTAGGTAGGTAGGTAGGTAGGTAGGTAGGTAAAGGTAAGCAGGCAGGCAGGTGGGTAGGTAGGTAGGTTGGTAGGTAGGTAGGTCGGGGTGGGAGGGTGGGTGGGTAGGTAGGTATGTATGTACGGATGTGCGCGTTATGCAGGCGTGTGTATCAACGCATGTATACCTGTAGAGGCAGAGCCATTGTACACCAGAGCGGAATAGCTACAAACTGTGCGCGAACGAAAGCAGCCGTACTCGTATCAATCTGGATTACAACTTTATGGGTTTCGGGACCCTAAACCCAAACCCTAAGTAACCTAAGCCCAAAACCCTCAGCCCTAGACCCTCAACCAAAAGCCCTACACCCAAAGCACTAAACCCAAAGCCCTAAACCCTAAGCCCTAAACCCTAAACCCTAAACCCTAAACTCAAAGCCCTAAACCCTAAGCCCTAAGCCCTAAACCCTATATCTTGCTGCTTAGAGCGCCCGGAAATTTCTCGGGGCATCTCGGGCCCAGGAGTACCTCCTGAGCCCGCAGAACTTCAGCCATGTCCTGCTCCTGGCCGGGGCCTTAAAGGGCTGGGAAGCAGCCCCAAGGGCCCCCAAGGCCCAGAACCTTCAGATTAATATTGCTATTATTACCATGATGATTATCGTTGCTGAGATTGTTATTATTGCTATTCTGGTTATCACTATTGTTATTCTTGTCATTGTTGTTATATCATTCAACCTGATTTGAGAGAGCCTCACATGACATCGGTGTTCGGGGTGCAACGTCGGGGTCGGGGCTGCCGGTCCCAGGATGCAGATGCTGCCATCATCCGTCACGAGCGCAACGTCTTGGGGGACATGGCCGCGATGCTCGACAGGGAGGGCCGCCGCTTTCCTTCATTCGAGGGTCTCCGTTCATCACAGCTCCGGGCATTCGTTTCCAAAGGCTGACGAACTGACAACCCCACGCGCTTTTTTGAGGGGCCATTTCAAGCTGAGACTCGACGACAACAACCCTAAACCGGAAACCCCAAACCCTAAACTGGAAACCCTGGACCCCGAGCCGGAAACCCTAAGCCCTGAACCCTAAACCATCCTAAACCCCAAAATCCATCAGCCCCAAGCACTAAAGCCTCGATGAGCCGCAACCCTGGAGTGACGAAGTCTCAAGGCGAAAGACCCGAGCTCGGCGCGAAGTCGAGGGTTTATTGGGTTGCTGGTAAGGGACTTAGTTTCAGTTACCATCAAGGGGAGAGAGAGAGAGAGAGAGATATATATATATATATATGTACATACATATAGGCAGTAAATCTTAGTAGGGTTTCCTTATTATAGCAGCTTAAGTCATGCTCCTTAACAGCAGCCCAGTGTAGGACAGCTTGGGTTCTTTCGAGCGCTTATAGGTCTGCTGCTTATTGCTTGGAGAAGCACTTGTTGAGACAACCACCTGAGGAGGGTTTTGGCTTTGCTGGTTCTGATCTTGATGCTCTTGTGTTCAAGGGTTCATTTCTTTACGGGTTCAGGGTTTCAGGTTTCAGGAGTTTCGGAGGCTTTGGGGGGTCTTTGAGAATTTAGGGCCATTTGCGTCTTTTCGAGCTCACCGCAGCTTCCCAAGGAGATGTGCTCTTCACGGATGAAGACTGGCTTCTCCATGGGGCAGGGAGGCCCCGTGCCTGTGTTCTGTGGACTTGGGGAAGGGGCCAAAAAGCTCCTAAATCCTCAACCCAAAACCCCCTCCGAACCCTGCGGCCTTGCGGTGCCCCAGCCGAAATCACGAAAGCTCGCGTAGCGGAGCTTGAGTTTAGTCTTGCTTTTAGCAGAGAGGCAGTCCAGGGCCAGAAACCAGCGTAGTATTGATAGTATCAATTTAGGGGGGGGGGGGGGGGGGGCTAAATTGAACGGTTCATACGAAAGCCTGTGTTTTG